CTGCCCCCCGACGTCTAACCATTAAACGGCTTACTGTTGTAGTAAGTTCACCAAGTGCCTCAGTCACTTTGGCATCAAGACTTTTCTATGCATTGTAATAGCCGAGCTGTGATCTCCCCTTCTGATGCCAGGTCACTAATATGCAAATCAGCCGATCTCTCCAACCAAATGCTCAGAATAATTTGTTCTCCATGCAAGTCCCGATCTACAATAATTGTTGTCCTTGGGAGCCATGCTGTGTCTGTCCACCCCCCTCCCCCACTGCTAATAAAAGTGACATGCTGAGGAAGGGTTCATTTAACTATGTGATACAGAATCGTGCTCAGAGCTTTGTGCGATCTGATGACCAGGACCACTTCTTGTTGTATATTTTGTTAGATGTTTGTTTTGTGGTGAAACAAATCGCTTTCTCAGGACTTTTTTATTGTTTTTGAAATCCTGTTTTATATATAGAAATGTACTTATGGGTATGAATCCAGAAATGTGCGTATTGATGCTACCTCTGTACATAGGACCGTTTACTAGTCAACGATTGGTTGTCGTCATGCAGCACTTTGTTCTCAGTTTATACAACCGCACTCTGAATTCACTATTGTGTGTCTCTCACCAGTGAAACATCATGTGCTTCCAGACCGCAGCAATATAACAGGCAGGAGAGGTTCTGTCACATTGTAATCCCTTTTTGCAGAGGAAGTGTGTACTTTGAGCTCGGCCTGAAGTTCTATCAAAACCTCTGACTTGTCGAGCTCTCCGACTGGGCACGTGACATCAGGTGACTGCCAGTAGGAGATGTAAAGCAGATGGAGCTAGTGCGCATGGGCAGAAAATCCTTGTCGAACTGTCTAACTATTGTCACTGCGCGACTAGCGGCTCATCGGATTCTATAACCTTCTACAAACTTAGATTCGTCCTAGGCTACAGAAGCCGATGCAGGCGCAGTGGTGACTGGTTGTGGAAAGAATCATGTGGCTGCGCAGCCGCGGTAACATAATACAACCTAGGACAAATATAACTGTAGTAGGTTATAGAAGTGGATAGCCGCGCAGGCGCTGTGGCAATAGTTAGACAGTTCAACAAGGATTTCCTGGGCATGCGCACTAGCTCCATCTGCTGTAGATCTCCTACTGTCAGTCACCGGATGTCGACAAGTTGGAACTTTCAATAGAACACCAGCACAGTGATTCCATTTCCTTCTGACGCTCTGGATACTGTCACAAGCAGCGGATAATGGGCGCCATTTGCACTGCAGAGCCCACTTCATCTCCTCCCTTGGCACTCTCTACTCCTCTTTTTACTCAGTCGGGTGCAATGGAAGATGTGGACAGTGGGTCAGGCCAGGCGGCTCAAACCAAGCATTCTGCAACAAAAGGACCCCTTTATGTGTGACAAACAACATCTGCCAGTTACAAGCAGCCACTTTTACTTAGGCTGGGTTCACACCTGGGCGTTTTTCCGCGCTTTCGTACTCGCGGAAAAACGCTCAAACAGGGAAATGCTATTATTTTCAATGTGCATGGTTCCCATCTGGGCGGTTTTCCACGAGTACGAACGTGCGGGAAACCGCCCTACACCCAAAGAAGTACATGTACTTCTTTGGGGCGTTTTGGTCGGGCGGTTCCATTGGGATACAGCCAAGTATCCCTCGGAAACGCACGTTTTTTTACCGCGAATCGTGGTAAAAAAACGCGCGAAAAACGTGCATATTCAATCCGCCTAGGTGTGAACCCCAGCCTTACAATTCATGCCTATGCACTCTGAAACTTGCACAATACATGAATCACAATGCAAAGCATGGCGCCATGACGGGAAGATAGCGGTGGTGTGGTCTCACTCTACACAACGTATGACAGATATGAATGGGCTTTTCATATTTGCGTTATGCTGTCTGTCTGCACACCGTGTTCTACATGTGAATACATTGTGTATAATAATGTTTTTGTATTAGGATAAATATATTGCCTCTATTTTTGCTATTCATATAAACCAATTTGTTATTCTAAGCATTTCATTTGTCACAAATGTTACTATAAAAAAAAGAATAAATCCTTCTGTGTGAACTTTTATCGGTTGTTGTTGTCTGGTAGTTTTATCTTTGAACAGATTTCCCCCAAATGATGGCGGAGTTCAATGTTGGTAAACTCCGGGTAGAGCTCTGCGTGGGACAGAACGGAGGACGTTACATCGGTGTTGTCCCTTTTGGAAAGTCTGCAGTGGTGTGATAGATAATGTGACTCATTTGCTGATTAACCCCTTCCTGCCAGCTGTAGGCATATATATGACAGCACAGTCTGGGCTCTAAGTAACGCTGCTATATATATATATCACGTTATTATTCTCACGTGCCCCCAGTCAATATGGCCGCCGCTTGAGTGGGGCAACTCAGAATAATAACGTGCTGGATTAGTGTAATCGTAGTTCATTTTATTACTTCATTGCTGTGCTGTATGTGTATAGGCCAATGCCTTGGCTGGCGCTCAAGTTTCTTGGGCAAACCTCTTGGTTGTAACAAAACCGCAAGTCAGGCGGTCGCAGAACTCGATAAGTGTCAACAGATCACGGGCCAAGTGGCTCCGTCGCCTAACGAAGGGAAGGGGGGAGGAGTCCGGTGACGTCGATGTCCGTGACGTCACCGGATCTACGACGGGACTCCCGGAAGCCGGCGGAGAGGTGAGTGTTTTCATTATTGATAAAAATAATTTTAATCGATCAAAAATTTTAACGATTAATCGGGTAATTCATCGTTAATTTACGCAGCCCTAATATATAGATATATCTATCTTACTGAGGGGCTAGTGTCCAGTTAGAATCCAGTTTCAACAAGTTTAACCATATAAGGGGTTTACCCACTATATGCTGAGAGCGCCACAGCCGTGACAGATCCCGACAATACTGTCGAGATACACCTCACTGGCTCCTTTCAGTTAGCGCTGGAGGATCGAAGAGGGGAGGAAGGGATTCCCTGCAGGGTGCGGTGACTGACGGTCACAGCTCTCTGCAGGGAGATGATCGGGAAATGAGCGAGCAGCGGTATGTTTTCCCTCTCTTCTCAATCAATAGACCTGACATGTAACTGTTTCAATGTTGCATGTCGGCTCTAACTATAGGGATGAGTGTAGTTCACTCACCCCATAGTTCACCTTTTAGTGGGTGAAAATTGACAGCTAACTGTGGGTACAGAAAACACACCTATATATACAGTGTGTGTGTGTATATATATGTATGTATGTATGTATATATATATATAATATATATATATA